TTGTTTTTCTCGCTTTTAAAACGTTTAAAGAAAGTTCTGTTTTCCGAAAATGGGTCTAAGAGTTTTTAAAATCGTTCATACGCTCAACCGCTTACTTCTAAAAACTTTCCGACTTGGTTCCGGTAAGCTATACGGCTTTGTTACCTTGCATGTTTATCGTGGGTTCTGCATTGCTTCTTTAAAATTCCGATTGTTCCTTGATTTCAAGAGATCGGGTAACTGCGAATTTATGCTGGTAATCCAGCTCGATCGGCTTCTGAAGTGATGATTCGCATACACCCACTTCGTGGAAGGAGATCAAAGCACGACACAAGCCTCCTCCGAGGCTTGATCGCGCCGATCTCAACTCCCTCTTGGGTACTGCTGCTTGCTTGTCAAACCCCCTGCCTGGGGGTTGCTGCGTTGGGCTGATATGAGCCCAAACTGTCGAAAGAAGCCATCGCCCACCCTGCTCAATTGCAGGATGCGTTAACTTGCCATTTTTTCCCGACCGGAAGCCGGGGATTTCTGATTCACTTCTGAGTTATGATTCGTACAATCATGCAGCCAACTGGGGAATGAGGTAGGGCCTGAAATCTGGAGGCTCAGAGGCTCCTTGTAGGCAAGAGCTCAGCTGTGGCACTCGAGGGGGTGAGGAATTCTTAAACACCAGATATTCTGGGGGAAAGGTGGAGAGGTGGTTAAGGTCACCCAAGGTGGCCAAGGCCAAACGGCCATCGTCAATCCTTTCCTACTGCAGTCACATAGTTACCTTTGGACCTTACAACCCTCCCAGGTGCTAACAGGATCTCTGTCTTTATTCCAGCAGAGGATGATCAGAGGAATGAAGCATGTGAGGAAGTTCATCAGAATATGCCAGATAAAATTAAAAATGTAGACTTGAAAGAAAATGTCAGGAATCGAGACAGACCAATGAGAAAGACAGTCGGTCATGTGGTTGAGAAGAAAGATGGAAGACGACATAATGTAGATATTACAAAGCACAGGATAATAAAGGCAAGTAAATCCATTCAGTGTGAAAAATACATCAGAAACGGATCACAACTCTTCATACACCAAAGAATACAGAGAGCCAAGAAACCTTTGGAATGCTCAGAGTGTGGAAAGAGATGCAGTGTGAGTGGGAATCTTCAAAAGCATCTGACTAACCCCACAGAGACGAAACCTTACAAATGTTCAGCATTCAGAAAGAGATTCAGTCAGAGTGCCAATCTTCAGATGCATCAGAAAACCCACACAGGTGAGAGACCTTTTGAATGCTCAGAATGCGGAAAGAGATTCAGTCAGAGTGCCAATCTTCAGATGCATCAGAAAACCCACACAGGTGAGAGACCTTTTGAATGCTCAGAATGCGGAAAGAGATTCAGTCAGAGTGCCAATCTTCAGATGCATCAGAAAACCCACACAGGTGAGAGACCTTTTGAATGCTCAGAATGCGGAAAGAGATTCAGTCGCAGTGGCAATCTTCAACTGCATCAGAGAATCCACACAGGGGAAACACACTTTGAATGCTCAGAGTGTGGAAAGAGATTCAATAGGAGTAACACTCTTCAACTGCATCAGAGAATCCACACAGGGGAAACACACTTTGAATGCTCAGAGTGTGGAAAGAGATTCAGTTGGAGTAACAGTCTTAAACTGCATCAGAGAACCCACACAGGCGAGAAACCTTTTGAATGCTCAGAGTGCGGAAAGAGATTCAGTGTGAGTAGCAGTCTTAAACTGCATCAGAGAATCCACACAGGGGAGAAACCTTTTGAATGCTCAGAGTGCGGAAAGAGATTCAGTGTGAGTAGCAGTCTTCAACTGCATCAGAGAACCCACACAGGGGAGAAACGTTATGAATGCTCAGTGTGCAGAAAGAGATTCAGAAACAGTGGTAATCTTCAGACGCACCAAAGAACCCACACAAGGGAGAAACCTTTTGTATGCTCAGAGTGTGGAAAGAGATTCAATAGGAGTAACACTCTTCAACTGCATCAGAGAATCCACACAGGGGAAACACACTTTGAATGCTCAGAGTGTGGAAAGAGATTCAATAGGAGTAACACTCTTCAACTGCATCAGAGAATCCACACAGGGGA